ACACTCAGCGTGTGTGAGAGAGAAAGAGAGAGAGAAAGAAAGAGAGAGTTTGTCCAGTTGGAGTTGGTCGTCCTGCTCAGGCTCCGCCTCTCTCTTCTCTCTCAGCCAATCATCAGACACTCCTGGGTTGAGGTTCAACCAATCACAGGTCCGCTAGTCCTGCACGGGCCAATCATGTTCCAGAGTGGGCACCATAAATCGGCTGAGGGAGAAACAGAAGCCGAGAATCAGTGACCCGATCCGTTAAAACGCTCAAATTCATCACAACTGCAAGAACTCAGTCAATATTCATCATACATTTAAAAATAAACTCATGTGGATGGAAAATATGAAGGTGATCGCATGGAGAAGAGCAGCGTGAACGTTCAGCTAAACATCTCCTGCTGTTCAGCTGAAGAAAGTAAGTCAGTGGGTTTGAACGACGTGAATAAATGGAAAGAAGAGTGGATGAGGCGAGTGGAAATAGACGTGGAGGACAGAACAGAAGGAATTCATGTCATTCTCCGGCAGCCAATCACAGGCCCTCATTCACTGCGATCCGTCTTCATTTCATCACAGACATGCAGTATTCACTGCAGAACGTTACATGTCATTTCACTGTAAAGGCCCATCATTCACACAAACAACCATAATTGCAACAATGACTGTAAAGCTTTAATAATGGCTATGATGATAATGACACAGAGGAACGATATCATTGGAATCACTTTCAGAGCAATTGATAGCCAATCAGAATTCATCCTGCTTTAAAGAGCTCGAGCATTTAAAGAGACAGATGACAAAACTGCAGAATAAACAGAACGTTATCATACGTTGGATTGGATGCTGGTATAGTTATCATCATAGTTATCAATACACTAATCACTATAGTCATCGGTATAGTTATCACTATAGTTACCATTTTAGTTATTGCTATAGTTACTGTTACAATATCAGTATAGTTATCACTATAGTTACCATTTTAGTTATTGTTAGTTATTGCTATAATTACTGACTGTTACAATATCACTATAATTATTGTTATAGTTACCACTATGGTCATCTTTTAGTTACTAGTATAGTTATTACTATTGTTATCATTGCAGTCATGGGCGACATTATTTATTTATTACTGTAGTTATTGGTAAGTTATTATAGTTATCGGAATAGTTATTGTTATAGTTATTACTATAGTTGTTACAGTATCGCTCTAGTTATTGTTATAGTTATCAGTATAGTTACTGTTATGATTATTGGTATAGTTATCACTACAGTTATTGGAATAGTTATTATTATAGTTATTACTATAGTTGTTACAGTATCACTATAGTACTTACTGTAGTTATCGGTATAGTTATTGTTATAGTTATCGGTGTAGTTATTGTTATAGTTATCAGTATAGTTACTGTTATGATTATTGGCATAGTTATCACTACAGTTATCGGAATAGTTATTGTTATTACTATAGTTGTTACAGTATCACTATAGTTCTTACTGTAGTTATCGGTATAGTTATTGTTATAGTTATCGGTGTAGTTATTGTTATAGTTATCAGTATAGTTACTGTTATGATTATTGGTATAGTTATCACTACAGTTATTGTTATAGTTGTTACAGTATCACTATAGTTCTTACTGTAGTTATCGGTATAGATATGGTTATAGTTATCAGTATAGTTACTGTTATGATTATTGGCATAGTTATCACTACAGTTATCGGAATAGTTATTGTTATTACTATAGTTGTTACAGTATCACTATAGTTCTTACTGTAGTTATCGGTATAGATATGGTTATAGTTATCAGTATAGTTACTGTTATGATTATTGGCATAGTTATCACTACAGTTATCGGAATAGTTATTGTTATTACTATAGTTGTTACAGTATCACTATAGTTCTTACTGTAGTTATCGGTATAGATATGGTTATAGTTATCAGTATAGTTACTGTTATGATTATTGGCATAGTTATCACTACAGTTATCGGAATAGTTATTGTTATTACTATAGTTGTTACAGTATCACTATAGTTCTTACTGTAGTTATCGGTATAGATATGGTTATAGTTATCAGTATAGTTACTGTTATGATTATTGGCATAGTTATCACTACAGTTATCGAATATTCAATATATAGATTTTACTAGTATCAGTAAAATCTGTGTCCCATTCACTGAGAGAGACACTGTATGACAAAGTAAGGAGAACTCCACAATTTAAAAGCTGTAATTTTGCATAATTTACAATGCATATAATAATGCATAATATTAGCATGTAATTAAATGTAATAGTAGCCTATGTAATTAAAATGAATTTCAATAAATTCAAATATTGTTAAAAATCACACATTATTTGTTATTTGTCACATGTAGACCATTTTTGTGCCATGGGTAATAGGAGGATTTTCCACCTGGCTACCACCACAAGTATATTTCAAACCTGTGGGAAGCACTGCAGTATCACTATAGTTCTTACTGTAGTTATCAGTATAGTTATTGTTACAGTTATCTGTATAGTTACTGTTATGTTTATCAGTATAGTTATCACTACAGATATCGGTTTATTTGTGACCCTGGAGCACAAAAGCAGTGTTAAGTCGCTG